TAGCCGGTTCGGGCTGGGCCCGGCCGGACCCCATGGGCGAAGGCCCGGCCACCAGGCGCTCGCCCACGGGCCCCAGCCCCAGGCCTGGCTCCAGGGCGGGGCCCCGGTAACCCTCCGGGCCGGGTACACCAACTCTTGTTATCTTCCATCATGAAGGGTCTTCTGAACCGTTCTTCGTCTGACCCTTCGCCCAGAACCAATCTGCCATGGGAAACCCTACCAGGGGCAAAATGCCCCCAACAGCACAGCTACTAGGGTCATTAGGGCACTCAAACTCCTCCACCACGATAAGGTGACGGTTCTCGGAGGAGGTTCAAATTACATGGGCATTTTTGTTGTTGTTGTTGTTGTTGTTGTTATTGTTATTGTTGTTGTTGTTTTTGTTTTGTTTTGCTTTGTTCTTGGGGAGGAAGAAACCTCAGCAGATAATTTAGCACCACCCTCGAAAAAAAAACAGTGAACACTTAAGGAATTCTAACTGGTTTCAGCTGGTTACACTCTACAATCCTCAACTCAAGATGCCACTAGTCCCCCTTAAATCTTACACACTGTTCCTTTATAGCCATTTTCAAGCTACTACGTTGCTGTAGAATTTCTGTCAATGATCCCAGGCTGACAGGTGGGAAAACAAAGGTTTGGTTGTAGGCTCAGGATGTCTTTAACTTTGTGATTGACCATTGTTCTCAGGCAAGGGACCGGAGACCCTGTATGCTGGGCAAAAGCTCAATGATAATGAATGGCATACAGTGCGAGTGGTGCGTCGTGGCAAAACCTACAAGCTTACTGTTGACGATGATGTAGCAGAAGGTACTTACCTGCATCAATTCAATTAATGCTTGAAGAAATGTGCTTTGTGTTGCCTTGTCAGTGGTATTACACCACCCTGTGGTGTGTTGCCATAGAGATTGATTGTATCTGTATGTAACATAAAAAGCATGCAGACATGTAAGCTTTAGTGACTGTTTACATCCATCTAATACTGTTAATGTAATTTTCTCTTTAAATCAGCCCTTTTGTGTTAGTGTCAGACAGTGTTCTCTTTTCTTTTTCTTTTTGTCTTTCTTTTCAACCCATCCCCTCCACCCTCCCCATCTTCAGGCCAAATGGTGGGTGACCACACTCGCCTGGAGTTCCACAACATTGAAACAGGCATCATGACAGAGCGTCGATTTGTTTCCAGCATCCCGTCCAGCTTTATTGGCCATCTGCAGAGCCTTAGGTACTCAGAACTTTATTTTTTAAATGTGTGTGTGTGTGTGTGTGTGTGTATCTCTCTCTCTCTCTCTCTCTCTAT